TGGATGGCGAATACCAGAGGAAGTTTGGAGCAAGAAAGAAATAAACCTTTCACACTTAAGAGTGTTTGGTTGTATTTCTTATGTACACATAGACTCTGCTGAAAGAAGTAAGCTTGATGCTAAGTCCAACAAATGTGCCTTTGTTGGTTATGGCGGTGATGATTCGGTTACCGGTTTTGGGACTATAAAATCGGAAGATCATCAGAAGCAGAGACGTCATTTTCAATGAAATGTGATGTACAAAGATAGATCAACCGCAGATCAGTAATACCGAAGCTGAAACAAGGATTTGCTGAGTTCGAGGAGATTTCAGGAAATGATGTTCAGATCAATCCTGAAGCAGTTCAAGAAGAACCAGGCACACCAGAACTGAGACGCTCCTCCAGAATTCCTAAACCAACCCAACGGTATTCTCCTTCTTTACACTACTTGTTGCTGACTGACAATGGTGAACCATGCTATGATGAAGCAATGCAAGTGGAGGATTCAGTCAAGTGGGAGTCTTCCATGAAAGATGAGATGGACTCGCTTATGTCAAATCAGACATGGGAATTAGCTGAATTACCACCAGGCAAGAAAGCGCTCCACACAAGTGGATTTACAGATCAAAGAAGAGCACGATGGGAGCAAACGCTACAAGCAAGATTGGTTGTCAAAGGCTTTCAGCAAAAGAAGGTATACACAATGAAATTTTCTCTCCAGTCGTAAAATTGTCTACAATCAGACTGGTGTTGAAAATTGTAGCTGCAGAAATTTACATCTTGAGCAGTTAGATGTAAAGACAGCTTTCCTTCATGGTGATTTGGAGGAAGAAATCTATATGAGGCAGCCAGAAGGCTTCATAGAGGCAGACAAGAAAAACCTGGTATGCAGGTTGAAGAAGAGCTTGTATGGTTTAAACAAGCTCCTAGACAGTGGTACAAGAAGTTCGATAGCTTCATGAGTAGCAGTGGTTTTATCAGATGCCAAGCAGATCATTGTTGCTACATCAAGAGGTTCGACAACAGCTTCATTATTTTATTATTGTACGTTGATGACATGCTCGTTGGCTCAGACATGCAAGATTATACACTTGAAGCAAAAATTGTCGAAGCAGTTTGCTATGAAGGATCTGGGCGCTGCAAAGCAGATTCTTGGGATGGATCAAGAGAGACACAAAGTCGGGGACTTTGATGTTATCACAGGCTGAGTACATCAACAAAGTACTCTCCAGGTTCAACATGCAAGATGCTAAACCAGTAAGTACACCTTTAGGTGTTCATTTCAGACTCTCCAAAGACCAATCACCAAAGACGAGGAAGAACGTGCACACATGGTGAAGGTGCCATATGCCTCAGCAATTGGAAGTCTGATGTATCCATGGTTTGTACCAACCAGATATTGCTCATGCAGTGGGAGCTGTTAGCAGGTACATGAATAATCCGGGCAAGGTACACTGGGAAGCAGTCAAATGGATCCTCAGATATCTTCGTGGTACCACAACAAAGCACTTTGTTTCAAAGGTGGAGATATGATACTGACAGGCTATGTAGATGCTGACTTAGCCGGAAATGTCGACATCAGAAGGAGCACTACAGGTATCTATACTCTAGGAGGAACTGCAGTGAGTTGGGTTTCTCAACTACAGAAGATAGTTGCTCTCTCCACAACTGAAGCAGAATAGTCGCTGTTACGAAGCCAGCAAGGAGATGGTTTGGCTCCAAAGTTTCTTGGAAGAGTTAGGCAAGAAACAAGAAAACAATATCTTGTATTGCGACAGTCAAAGTGCTATCCATCTAGCAAAGAATCCGCTTTTCATTCCAGGACAAAGCACATACAATTGAGATATCATTTTATCCGGTCTCTTCTGGAAGATGGGATTTTGAAACTTGAAAAGATTAGTGGAGCTCAAAATCCGGCAGACATGTTGACAAAGACGGTGACTACGGACAAACTGAAGTTGTGTTCAACTTCAGTTGGCATGCTAGAATAAATAGACCAGACATGCTGCTGCATTGATCGAGGTGTGAAGACATATTAAAATCAGTCTTCAAGTGGGAGATTGTTAAAAGTTTCAAAGTTTGGCAACCAACTTTGGAAAATGTTTTTTTCAAAGTTTGGTAAATGTTTCTTTGAAAAATGTTTTTCAAAGTTTGGTAAAATTTTGGTAGATGTTTGTTGAAATAGGAATGGGTAAATTCACTTAGTCATTGCACTTTAGGGTATTTCAAAGATTAGTCCTAATTTCTACTATAAATACCCTTACCCATTTAGCTTCAAAATCATCTCAAAACATTTCTTTCTTCCTATACTAGAGAGCTTTCTTGTGAGTAGTGAGTGTTTTGTAAACACCTGTAAATTTTCTCTTAGTAAAAGATCTGCAGCAGCCCGGAGACGTAAGCACAATTGGCTGAACTCCGTTATCAATTTTCGGGTATTATTTTTCCGCTTTTATTTCGCATTCTCACTAATCTGGTTATAGGGAAATTACTTGTACTCGGTTTATTTTCCTAACATGTATTAATGTGTTGAACTTTTTTCAGAAAATGCCGGATAGTAAAGTAATGGTAATTTCTCTCAAAAATGGGAAAACAAGGTGGGGTGAACGTATTTGGTCTTAATTCTACTGTAAAGCTGCTAAATATATTGTAAAATTAAATTATGATAAAGAAACTGATTGTATTGCCTTCTTGTTAATGGCTAATCTCTCCACACCAAAATGAAGTTGAATGGCATTGCATTCGTTTATTTGTTTATTTTACTTTTAGGGAGTTAGTTGCCATTTAATCTTCTAGGTTAATTGTGTGTAACTCTTTCTGATTGTTCCATCTTTATGACAGGATATCTTCGGAAAACTTAACATATGGAAGCTAATCACATCAGTTTTTGCCTTTTCATCTACACCAGAGCTGATGTTTGGACTTTATCTACTATACTACTTCAGGGTCTTCGAGCGACAAATGGTTCCAACAAGTACTCTGTGAGTAATCGTGGCATTTTTACTATAGTATTCTGTCTTGTTGTGCCATATATTCCTTTAACGTTGCACCCAGCATTCAGAGAGTTAAACTATAACTATAGAATTTATGTTTCTGGTGAAGTAAACTACAGTAACCAAACTGTACTAATACTGTGAATCTTATTAGAGAGGCCCTGCCTTTTAACCAAAGTATCTGATTTGATTTGGGTTTTCCTTTGTTTTGCTCTCTTCTGAGATCTGGAGAAATATGAAAGTGTTGGTTAATGTGATATTGTGTGAGTGTGTGAGTTTTGGTGGGTTGTATATTTAATAGAAATGATAATTTTGTAGGATATTAGTTACTGATAAGTTTCCTAGTTTGATAAGATCAGAAGATTCAGAACTGTCAACTGTATATATAGGAGGCTGTAGAAGCTGTATTTGCAGGACAGAATTAATTCCGGTAAATCAATTCCCTACAGAATCAGAACTGTGTATATAGGAGACTGTAGAAGCTGTATTTACGTGACAGAATTAATTGCAGTAGACTAATTCTCTATAGAAAGTTTGCATATTGGCTGGAGTAGATTTTAGGGGGAAATGTCCAAGCTGTGCCAATACAACTGGTGCATTACAGGGCAGTTTTGTATTGAATCAGAATGGAACTAGGCGAGCTGTGTATCAGCATTTGTAATTTTTTTTAACTAACAACAGCGAGTTTGATTTTTTTTTGTGTCTATTTAGTTGCTTTATTTAATTTCTTTCTTTTGTGCTGGACTGATGTATTGTTCCAGTGCGGAAACATGAAGATAAGTAAGGAATAGTCAATGCATGTGTGACTTAGATACATCTTATTTTAGCTATTGACTCATTTTGAGTTAAATCGTGAAACATAATTGTTTCTTTTACTTTCCAAGTTTTGTTCTCTGCCTCCCCTTAGATCCCTCTTCTGTTTTCTTCCTATCTATTGCTATTCTTCATGAAATAAGGCAAAATTCCAAAGAGGGAAGAAAATTAATGACAAAGTTTCCCTTTAAATCAGTGTCAGCTAGAGACAAAAATCAACAATCACCTTCCACTACCGTTGGCAACTCATAGACTTTTTTGCATCAAGTACTGTTGTCACCTACAGTATGCACTTATTCCCCATATTATCCAGTTACTTGTTTACTTCTTTAGCTTGGGATTCCTGAAATGTTGTTTTAATGATGTCTATTTAGATTGCAGTAAAAGGCTGTTAATCAGTTCATATTTATGAATGGCTTCTTGACTTTCCCATAATTGAGCATATCCATCCGTTTTTGGTTTAATTGCTAAGCCTAAAACATTCCTCGAGACATGCCTGCTTTCCAAGTTATCAATTGTTAAAGAGTGAAGTAATCAACAATCTGAGATTTTATTTGTATATTTTTAAATGTGAAAAGTACAAAGTTTTCTGACGAATTTGGCATGTAAAAAGAAATTGGGGAGTATGCCAAAATCCAAAATTTATATCCTTTATTTTTTTATCGAATCAATTTTTTTGATTGAGAAACTACCATCTAAAAGATCAATTTATTTGATTCATGAATCGTGATATGAGAAGAAACTGGTAATGATGCCGAAATTGCTTAAGGGGAAGCTTTTAAGAGTCCTCAACTAGCTTGTATCACCATTTTATATGAATCCTATGCTTTGGTTTTTCAAATTTTGAATGAGGATTTTAAATTTCAAGTTTTTTGTTTGCTCTTTAATTAACAATGATTAGATTTTAAGCAAACCCAACATGGAGTTTAAATGTTGAAAATTTAGGATTTGAAATACTTTCTTGGACTAGTTCTTAAACAAATCCATCCACTGTGTTTGATATTTGATCACTCAACATTTCAATTATCCATTAGCTTTTTTGATCTTATCTCTTTTCTTAATTCCCTAATGTTATGTTGAATCAAAGAAACAGCGATGGAAGTAATAGGAGAGACAGACAGATTGAGATGTTATTTACATAGTTTGATTTTATCAATTAATTCTTTGTATAATAAAATAAAGAATATTAATTTGAATATAAATTGAAGTCTTTAAGTTACCTTATCAGAAATGTGAATATTTTGAAAATGTTGGATTACAAGTCTGTGGTTACTTATATGTGAATTATAAAATCAGAATTTCAAATACATATCCAAATTTAGGTTGCCAAAAACAAGATTAATTATCCATGGTTGTAAAAATTACTGAGTCACTTAACCTACTGGAGACCCATCCAAAGGTTGTTATATAACATCACTAAATTTGTATTAAATTAATAAAGTGAGCTGCCATCAATAGATCTTATGATAGTACTACGGAATTTCAAATATGATGGTGGATATCATCAATTGCATACATTCTCAGTTTCACTTACAAAATCGTTTTGAACTTATATTTCTTTAAATTGGCTGATCATGTTCTCACAAAAACTAAAGTATGCCATCCCCCTCCAAATTCCTACACATAAATTGTCTGCCTTTATTATGCAGGTTTTTATTTTGTTCTCAATAGTGGCTTCATTTCTATTTGAGGTTATGGCTCTAGCTATCCTTAAAGGTATGTATTGTCATATCACTCCATATCATTTTATGCTAATATAAATGCATGTTATATCAGTCTTTCTTCAGTTTATCTAATTTCTTCTTTTCTTCTGATAATAGTTTTTTGGTCAACTTTCAAAATTTTTTTCCAAATAAAAAAAGTAGATATATGATAGTAGCTGAATTAATCTTAAAGAAAGAAGTAAAAAAGCCTCCATTTGTATGGTTAGGAAACTCTAAGGAAATTGTTTGCAGCAGGCTCTTCTAAGTTTCATTTTGGTAAAAGGGTTGTTAAGAAACCTAGAGATGGTGGTTGTTTGGGAACAAAAATGCTTAATTTTTTGTCACTTCCTTTGGCTAGTGTATATATAACCTACTTTTGTTACATGGGGAAAAATAGCGACTCTCGATGTGGCAGTATCCTATGTATTTATATTCGAACATTGAATTGTATGAATGGTTAATTTACCCTTTAACCTAAATACTTAACACTCTCCCTTAAGTTGGAGCATGTATGGCATATGTACCTAACTTTTTTACAGGTATATATCTTACTCTAGAAATAGATTAAGATTTTATAAACAAGTGTTGTAATTATCCCATAGATCTCACTGACTGTATGAATCACATTCTATTTAAGTTTGTCCCGAACTAGTTGACCATCCACTTTGTCCCGAACCAGATGAACATCCACTTTAATATGCTCGTTTTTTTTTCATGAATTAATGCTATATGAAAAGTTGCTTGGCTAGTTCAACTTCACAACCAATCTTTGGTAACAACTTGAATCAGTTAACACATCACTTTGATGAGCTAATAATTTGGTGTTAGGATCCAATAGGAGTATCAATAAGTTTGCATACCTTCAGAAAGTAAGTCAAGTACATGCTTCTTTTGGGATAGTGAATCCCTTTTATAGATTTAGCAATTTCTACACCTAAGAAATATCACAAGTACCTGAAATCCTTTATCTGAAATTTTGTTTGAAGATACAATATTAATGCTCGCATCCTTTCCCTATCATTGTCTTTAATGATGATATCATTCACATAGACAACCAATAGAACTTTACTAGCTTTTGTTTGACAATAGAAAACAAAATGGTCTCCTCCTCACCTTGTTAGACCTAATTCAATAATCAATATCAAAATCACTATTAGATATGGCAATAGGCGGGACGAGGTGGTTTTTTACTCTTATGTATATGTAAGAAACCAAGTTGTTGTCAAACTAAATCTAGAGAAAAAATATTGTTGTGCAGTTGTGTCATGAACTCTTATTTGTTATTCACCATTAAAAACTACCTGTTATATGATGTGATTATACCTGTTATATGATGTTAAGCTCTTGTTGGATAACTCACAATCTAGATCATGCATATTGGCTTCCAACAAAAAGACTTTCCTTTATTTTCTTAAAATTTTTAACGAAGACAAATTTTAGACATCAGCATGCATGATTGTTATTTGTATGCAGGGTTAACCATACTAGTTTTTTATGCTGCATTGGTGGCGCTGATGTAAAATTTACTTGAGATATAATGTTTACAGATCCCACAGCTAACCTGCTTACTTCTGGACCTTATGGCCTCATATTTGCTTCATTCATACCATTTTATTTTGACATCCCGGTTTCAACATGGTTTCGAATTTTTGGTGTTCGCTTCTCCAATAAGTCTTTCATCTATCTAGCTGGTCTTCAGGTAAAGAGTGAATAGTTAGTTTTATTGCTTAGTGTTAGTCTTCTACCTCAACGCCTAGTGATAAACTTAAATTTCTTTCTTGCAGCTTCTTCTATCATCTTGGAAAAGATCACTCTTGCCAGGGATATGTGGCATCCTTGCTGGTTCCTTATATCGTCTAAATGTCTTTCGCATCCGAAAGGCTAAGGTTGTTTCCAATCTGATAAAACTTTTGCTTCTTTAACTTTCCTTTATTGATGGAGACATGGGGAAATACATATGGTCTTCCATCTATGCCATAGATTGAGATGAGATTTTGGCTACAACAATGGTGGCTATGTTTTCGGTATAAACCCATTGATGAATGATCCTGTGCGGGGGATCTGTTGTAACATACTTCCTACATTTCAAACAGTACTGAGTGATTTTTTTGCATGCATATGCACTTACTTTTGCATTGCATTTTATTGGTGTTGGTGCGGTGAGGAGAAAAGAGAGAGTGGCATATGGTGTGGAATGGACAAGAGAGAATAAAAGAAAAAAAGAATAGAAATGCATTTTTTTAGTTAAAATTTAATTAATTTCAACTTATTAGATGTCACACTGGCTATTTGGCTTGACTTGTCATTTTCAAAAATGAAAAATCAGCTTGTTTGCGGCTTCATTTTGGCAGTGTTAATGATATTCTTTAGATCACTGATTCAATAGATGCAGAGGAATTCATTTTGGTGAAATTCATGTACAGTATTTGACGTCAGTATAGGGACCAATTGAAGGATTTTATCATTTTTTTAATCCAACAAAATTCTTTTTCCGTTTTTGTTTCAGTTTATTAACACTGTTTTTACATGAATTAGGTAGTATTAGTTAAATCAGAATTCCACGTAAATTAGAATAAAATTTGAAAACTCTTAACAACTTTTTAGAGAATTAAATGTTTTGCAATTCAAAATATCTAGCATTGCAAGTGAAGACATTGAATTTGTTGTTATTAAAGATTAACTGTTGTGACGAATTCTGGGTTTATTGTTCCTTTAGTAAAGAAGTGTTATTGAATTTAGCTATAATAGCATTATTTCACCTTTTTAAGTATGTCTTTGGTTCAATCCATTTGGTAGCTTCATTTTCAATTCATATGCTGATATATTTTCATTAATTTCATATTTTTAAAGTCATCGTTTTATTTACAGTTTCCTGAGTTCATTACATCATTCTTTTTGCGGCTTTCTTGGCCTTCTATGGATAATCCACCTACAACACCAGCTAGGAATCTTGCAGGAAATGCACCTTCCTACACAAACACAACTCGCCAAGTGGAGGCAAGTATTTTTTAAATGCTTCATTTTTACAAATTTCTTCCAAGGTATTTTTACTGGGAATCAGAATTAGTTGTATTTCACATGCCCTGACATAAACATGCATATCTGTCAACTTTATATCATGAAGCATGTGATTAGAATCCCAAGTTGGAGTTACATCAGACGAGCTGGGAGATTGCACACAATTGTGTTCTTCCAATGGGTTTGATTGATGAAACTTGCATTACGTGGTACATGTGAATGTTTATGGTTTTCAACTGCTCTTATTATAGCATGCTGCGGATGATTTAACATTTTATTGTCATAATATTGCTTGATAAGTGTTAGTTGAAGTATTTCTTCTCTGTGGTTGGTGTAGGGTAGTATTCTATAATTTTCACTAATATATTCTCAGCACATCTATAAAGTTCATGCATTCTTCTGAAGGTTGAGAATATGACTATATGACTATATGTTACGCTGGGAAGCAATAATATCCACTGCTCATATGACATTGATGTAACTTGATGCAATGTACCTTAGTGTCTGTAACAACTATATTTAAGAATGTACATCTTTTGGTCAAAGTATAAATCCTCCATGTATGCAGAGAAAAAATGTCCACACAGTTATAGATTGTCTCTACCAGCCCTTTGGAATACTGATATGGTGAAATATGTATGGCCGCCATTTGCTCCATGACTATGATTAGTGAGGACTCATGGATTTGTTACCCATAATTATCTTTTAAAATGATTTATCAAGGAAAAAAATGCAAAAACTTGTAATAAAAGGAAGAGTAGGAAAATATAACAACTCCAGGAGGAGATTTAGGCATTTAAGCAGAGAAACATGAGAATCAGCACTAAAGATGAGATCAGCTTCTTGAATCTCTTCAGAATTCTGACTCAATATTAAGTATTATTGGAGATTTTTGAGGTTTTGAGGTTTTATAGATATCATATCTTTTAACGATGTTAAGTTTGGTTAGGGAAGAAATCAAGATATTATGACATCGGAAAGTTTTGAAGGAAAAAAGTTGGAGTCTTCATGGATTGACTGATTACATGCTTTGTGATAACATCTTGTGGGTTGGGTATTTTCTTGACCATTATTCCTGCTTTTGGTGAACAATTGTATTTTCAATGTATATTTAGTGGGTCTGCTTGTATTGAGGAGTAGATAATTTATTTCCTATGTTTAGCTGTTGTGTTTAAGTTTTATGTAATTTCTGGTGGTGTTTGCAGATGTTTAGGGTCTGCCTTTGTTGTACTTTGTTTCATCTAATAAATTCTAGGCACTCTTTTCCTCCTTTCCTTGTCCTTCATGTTACTTTTATAACATGAAGGTTGAAAAAGGGGGTTTTAATGAGGCCTAATCTTCTATAAAAAAAATGTATATTTAGTGGGTCAACCGGTTCCTATGAACTATTAGATTCAGTGTCAGTTAGTCATGTGCTGGTTCTGCCTTTTCCTGTATTTAACTGAGAAGATTTTTGGATTTACATTTCTGGTTAAAGATTATCTAGATTAGATTGACCACTGATATGCAGAATAAAAGCTGTGAACTCTTTTGTTTTCAGAGAAGCTATACATCCACGGTTGCACCTTCAGCTGTAGAACCATCAGAGGACTCTGTTGCTACCCTGGTGACAATGGGCTTCGATCAGAACTCAGCCAGGCAGGCACTTGTGCATGCTAGGAATGACATCAATGCTGCCACAACATTCTTCTTGAAGCACAGTCCCACTAATTGAGACAGAATTGTTGGCGAAAAGTGGATGCGCATATGTTATTTCATGGATCTAAATGCTTTGATCATGCAGATATATACATTTGATGGCAACCAATTTGCTTGCCACCTGGCGTTCTGCGATTTCACTTGGGAGTATTAGTGTCTTCCATTTTGGCCAGGCCTCTTATTTCTGTTAGTAGCTTGTAGTTCAAGTAAAATCATACACCAATGCAATTATGCAACTCAAAAGTTTTTTTTTTAAATTGTTTACCCTGATGCATGCTTGGATGATTACATGCGAGGCTTATGGTCCAAATTACTGACAAATTTGTATATTTGCTTGATTTGAATAGACAATTTAGGTACTTTAGTTACCGCCAGTAGAAACACCTCTTTTAGTAATGGATAATTTATAACTCAGAAAAGCGCTTTGGGCTAAAAAGTTGGTTTTGGAAGCAAAAGTAAATACCAAACGGGTAAAAATTAAAAGAACATATGCGTACAAATAGTAAACGGTATAATTTCGTGGATTATGCACTGTATCCGTTTCAATTGAGGCGGTGATGGATATAATTTTAGTGAGTAATGGGCGGGTGATGGGTTTGAGACTTTACTCATCCCGCATCAGTCAGCCCATTAAACACTCATTAAATTTTGGACAATTATGAATCTAGGTATAATTTTAGAGACTAATTTTTAAATCTTAATATTGTATAAAATATAACTTATAATTTATGTACTTATCTATATTAACATTCAACTCAAATAATCCTTAGTTAATTTTATTATGCTTCTTAATGGACGTGTTTGTTTTATGTTTGTTGTTTATGTATAACTTAAGGTTGCTGTCAGGCGGGTCTAGCCAGGTACGTCTCTAGTTGGGTAGTGGGTGTATGGATGAATTTGAGAATGTATACGCGTGGGCGGGTATGAATTTGAAAAATTTTACCCATCATGGGTGGTGGTCGGGTGATAGATTTAAAAATATTATGTGGGTATAGAGATGGAGGAAGGATATTCGCATCCGATTCACCCGTTTGCCTTCCCTACATATGCGTTTGAATAGTAGTTTTAAACCAACCCATAAACTGGATTTTCCAGCTTTTTCAATTCCAAAATTCCGTTTCGAATCAATTTACGTTTCTACAACTCCACTCATTTCTCCAGGAAAACAAAATTTAGAATTTTATATATATATTTTTTATAAATTATGTATTAATTATATTTTGCTTTAATAATTTAATAGTAACTTAATAATTATTTTAATTATCCAAAAGTAATTAAATTGATGCTTTATATATTAAAATATTAATACTAAATTATTAATAAGCATATTTTTAATATAGTTTATGTTAATATATTTCATATATTAAAATATTAATGAATTTGAAAATAATTTAAATTAATATATTTCAATTTATAATAATGTTTAAAATATATATTTATTTTATTAAAAGTACATTTTAACAGCAATAACGAACACTAAAATATCAAACTTAACTTTTCAAAATCATTTTTAAAATCACTTTCTAACAACGATTTTCAAAATCGCTTTTCAAAAACAATGTCAAATTAGATATTCGAATCCAAATAACCATATTCAAGAGTTATAATTTAATACCCATTGTGCCAGTAGAAACAGATAAAAGTGAGTGGGACCTTTTTTTTGAGACTTCGGTGTCTCCATACCTTTGGTGCAGTTAGGGTTGTAAATGAGACGAGACAGATCGTGAATTACTCGAGATCGACTCGATTTTGGCTCGATAAATACTCGGATCGAATGGACTCGACTCGAGTTCTTAACGAGCCGAAACGAACTACTCGATACTCGACTCGAAAAACTCGTGTGCAGCTCGAAAAAATGTTATATTATAATTTTAGATTTTTTAAAATTACATTATTTAAAATATATTAAAAATACATTATTAGTGAATAAATATTCTTGAATTGAAAATGGTTAAAAATTATTTTTGAATAATTTTTCTTATATTTATTTTAAATTAATAAAAAAATTATTTATCTAATGCCAAATATTTAATATATTTCTAATGATAATATTTGTAATAACTAATTTTTTAAATTATTGTTATATTTTGAGGTTTCGAGTTTAAATATCATAAATATAAAGGGTTTGAGCATTTAATATTAAGATACTATATTGTACTTACCTCATAACTAATTTTTTATTTGATAATAAATATAATATAATAAAAAAAATGATTCAATTTAAATAATAATAATTTAAAAAAATATCAAAACAAGTATACTCTCTCTCATTTCACTAAGTCATCTCATTCCTTCTAATTATGTGTTAAGGTTTAGGTTTTAGGGTTTATGTGATAGGTTTTAAGGTTTAGAGATTAGGGTTTAGGGTTTAGGGTTTAGGAGTTAGAGTTTAGAGTTTAGGAGTTAGGGTTTAGGGTTTAGGGTTTAAGTTATGCACATGAAAATAACATACAAATTATGTAAAATGATGTTATGTGACTCCTAAATAAATCATTTGCATACTTATACATAAAACATATCAACATGCAAAATAAATATACACAACTTGTCACACCCCAAAATGGGGTTAGTTTTCTTTCAATTTAAAATATGTGTAATGATATAAAGTTGATTTTCAAATGAGTGTGTTATCATACTATTATGTTATGAAACAAATTGAGGGCCACTCAATAAGATATATAATTTTTTAAGTAAGGATAATGGTATTGCAGATAAGGTTGTAATACATTGCTTTCAACTTTCACTTTCAACCAGCTAGCTTTTGTATCCACCAAAAGTTGGAAATCAATTAAATAAAAGGTATTGCTTTGTCATTTCCAACAGCTCTAATCTTTTATTTCAAATGTTCGGAACTGGTATTTTTGGTGCCAGTTTGTTCAATGTTCTCGGCATCTTCCCACAAGTTCTTGGTTCTAGTTAATGGAGTTTCAGCAAGTGAAGAAACTGCTCAAACAAAGGAAACAATCTCCATGGCAACACCCTCAATACACCTCGTGAAATCGTGTTACAGATGGCCGATTCGAAGCCCGTCCTTGTCTTCACCACTGGCTAACTCGTCCCGAAACTGGCCGGATCGGGTATCCCCGTCGTACTTTTTGACAATGAGCCAGTGACGATTGAAGACATCGGCCAAGTTAAATTATTAAATATTGTTAACAAAATGATGAAGAAATTATCGATGATGGATAAGATCCGAGTCAGGGATTGAGTTTACCAAGATGACGTGGCGATCCTATTGTATTCGTCTGGCACAACAGGTGCCAGTAAAGGTATGTTATCATCTCACAGAAATCTCATGGCTTTAGTGCAAGCATTTTCAAACATTAGCACTCCAGAGGAAACCTATATTTGCACCATTCTCATGTTCCACATATATGGATTCAGAGTTTTTGCAATCGGGAAGCTCGCGAACAGAACCAAGGTCGTGATTTTATTGAAGTTCGACATGAACGAAATGATGTCGGTGGTTGATGCGGTGTACCGACGATCGTCTGGCAAGCTTTCTTGCTTTACTTGCAGCGTAGAACATGAAGAAAGGAAAAAAAATATTTAAAATGAACGTGAAATGGAGTGCACGTGATTTTGGGGGTTGTATTAAAGTGCAAATGGGAAAATCACCAAGTTAGTCATCCAAGAATGGTAAGAACTGACCTTGTCTCATAGTTTCCATTAGATTTAATTTATGGCTCAATAGTGCAAATTAATTCGGTCCAGTTCCTAATTTTAGTGATTAATTATTATAGTAACCCCACAAGTATTCTATTATATTAATTGGGTTTCCAAATTATTATTTCAATTCTAATAAGTTTTCTTTATGACGAGGAAAATTATTTGGATACGAGTTAGTAATTTTGATGGTCTGGATCGAGAGGAAAATATTGGAAGTTGAATCAAAGATCGAGGGTGTTTGAATGGAATTTTTATGGTTGATCGGTATTGCACGGAAATCGAGGTAATACTTTACTACCTCTTTATGCTTTATGGAACATGTTGATATTGGTAAATGCATGAATAAGATAATGTTGGTCACTTTTGTGGAGTTGAATAATTTATTCACTCGATATGAATGTGGTAGAAATTCTGTAACTGAATACGGATCGAATGACTAAGATAAGAGATTGATAATTGTTAGAATTAAATTACAAGTTTGTGATTGGTGATAAAGAAATCAGCTCTGGATTTGTAACTTATATTTTATATCATCAAGGGTTAAATGTTAAAGATACTTGGATGAGAAATTATGAGAATACTCCGGTAGGGTAAAATTACGAAAATACCCTTATATTGTAAGATGACAAGAATTATCCTTGGAAGTTGGTTAATAACTCTGAAAAGATATATTGATTCGATAAAATTTCATATGTGCATATGAAATGCTAGTTTTGCTTAGGAAATATGGATAACCGGTTTTTAAACCCGAGGGTTTGTGCAAGATACTAGAAGTCGGTTAAAGAATCATTTCAAGATCAAAGAATGTTTGGGAAAGCAATTAATATAGGATCTCCAAATTATATTATTTTTTTGTTAAGAGTTAATACCGAAATTATCTGGTTAAGAAATTACGAAAATGCCCTTGAGAGGTAAAATAGTCCAAGTTGACTCTAAATGAAAGAGTAACATGAGAATTTTTTTTTTAAATCGATAAATTACTGATTTGGTTGTTGAGATCCTACCTTTGTATGGAAAATTTTCTGAAAATTTGTTAGTAACATTTGAAAAGACATTTAACCTGGAAATTACCGAATTGAGTAAATACCTGAAGAATGATTTATCGAATGTGCTATTTGGTCAGAATTGTTTGAAAGGACTGAAGTAAGTGATAAGATTAAATTAAATAATAAGATCGGACGTAAGGAAATGATGGAAATACATTGGATCTGTAAAATGACCAAAATACCCCTGGAATGGAAATGACTCAAGAATGTCACCAAGCTCATGAATGAATGGATATACTCAAAGCTTTGTAATGAATAGAAAAACGTTGAGAACCAAAATGCCCTTATGACCTAGAATAAGTAAA